GCGGAAATTGATCCGCGCGGTACGATTCAATCGTCCCCGATTGTCTATTCTCTAGTGCCGATACCGGTAAGCTATTGTTTCATGAGATGAAACAATATAAGTTAAATTTTATTTTAGAGAGAAATTATCAAAAAGCGACATATTCATCATTTCCGGAACCATTTCAGGAGCAGGAAGAAAAAGTATATTACGAATTGAAAACGTGTCGTCAATTATATCAAAGTGCTGAAACAAATAATATGACAACGTATTCCATATCAGCCGGATTTCGACAACCACAATCATCACAGCAATCAATTCTGGATTTTGACTTTTCGATTAGCGGAAATGATTCAACAAATGGACGGCATCAACTTTCACTTGTTGCATCTCAGCTTGATCCATCATTGCATTTGAATAAGATTCATCCAAAAAGCAACAAAAATCTTTCATTAAATTCAAATCAGGACGATGATAATTTATGCGTAGTATGCAATGATAAAGCTTCAGGAAATCATTACGGTGTGCTAAGCTGCGAAGGATGTAAGGTATACATATTAATACGTATAAAGTGCAGAATAATGGAATTGCTAAAAGATTTTTTTGCAAGAACTGGGTGATAAGAAAATAATTTTTAAAGATTTTCATGGTAATAATTTTTAGTATTATGGACTGTTTGATATAGTCAAATATAATATTTCCAATGATTGAAATTTTTAGGGCTTTTTCCGAAGAAGCATCTCCAAGAAAGTGAATTATATATGTCACAATCAAAACAATTGTATAGTGAATTTGAACAATCGAAACAAATGTCAGTACTGTCGATTTAAGAAATGTGTTAGCGTAGGCATGCGTCCGGTATTGGTATGTTTAAATTATCATTGATAATAGAAAAAAACGATCAAATCAAATAAATGCAACTTATCAAATTAAGCAACATTTTACAGTTCTTAATCCATAAGACAAATTTGTTTAATAAAAAAAAAAAATCGTACCATCCGATTTTTTCAGAGGAAACGAAATGGAAGTGATCAAAGAATGAATTAAATGAAAACAATTAATATTATCATTTACTTTAAAACATTCTCGATATTCTTTCATTGATAGAAAAAATATTGAATTTGAATAAAAAAAAACTGCATCCTTGTTTATATATGATTTGTACGGTAGTAAACATTAAAGTACAGTATTAAGCGGTGAATGAAACAGGTACTGCTTGTAATTGGATTAAGTCAAGTAAAATTTGAAAAGAAAATGAAAAAAATTTGATGTAAGAATTTATATTTTATTTTTTCTGTCTCCTCAAATTTTTTTTCTAAAATCGTTTTCACCATTTAGATTTGTGGTAGAACGGAAGCACACAAATGAAGTTTTTCGATTTTTCATTTCTCGTCATTAAATAATATGATTGCTTTAAAATTGATTGTATTCGTATCATAATTAACAATCTTTGATATCTTTGATAATCCTAGCTTAGTTTCTTCTAACTTTCCAATTATTCCACTATTTTTGATATCTCAATTAACTATGCCGCATGAAATCAAGCGCAATCGATCTATATTGATTTAGCATGATGTGTCGTCACTTGGTCATGTTAGCAATCGATTTTTCTGAATAAATAATAAATTTGATGAAATTTATGTGTTATTTGCAAAAATTTTGTAAATGGCAATGGTAACGATTGCGTTGCAGTATTTGTTTGTAAATTAGATGATATTGGCAATTGCAGTTGCGCAATGTTTGCCTGCGGACCGGAAGACAATATCAATTGCTGTACCAAAAACGCTCGCTTATGAATCGCTAGTAAAGTTGATTGAATCTCTAACATTCCCGTTAACTTATTACATTTATTCCATGAATCATCATCTTAAAGTTTCTTATCATTGCATTTGAGTTATTCGGATTCAAGTATATATCGATAGAAAATGAAAGAAAGTCGTTCGCTGGACACATTTTGTGATAACATTTCAATACGAAACACTATTAGCTCCCATCAGTTGATGCGATGGAATCGTAGATTGTAATCGATTAAAAGGAAATAACAATGTTTGAATTAGGTAAAATTGGGAAGATAGTAGCAACTAGTATTCAAAGATCCGGTTCTATGAATTAAAAATACTGGTGGAATGTAAACCGTAGTTTACATTCTAAGGTGAAAGATTATACCGTATCGCCGAATCGATTTAGGGAATTGCGTTTCAGTCAGCCAATAAACTGTGATTTCATCAAATCTCTGCAAATAAACTATGTTTTATAATTTCTTAATATCTTCAATGGAGAATTTTGGATAGATTTCGTGTTTAGTATTTCTCTATCTCGAATTGAAGAAAATAATTAAGCTAAATTTTGAGAATAGGCATAAGAAACAAATAACTGAGCAAAAAAAAAGAAATATCAAATACATAATCTAAAAAGAAAAAAAAAATTATATCCCGCGTAAGCAACACTTGAAAAGTAATAAGATCGAGAGGGAATTATCGGATCAAGTGGATAATTCTGGAATATTATTGCTTATTTTAGTTTCTTCTTTTCTTTCATCATTTTTTCTACTTTTTTATGGCAATTATTCTTGTTTCTATAATTTGCTGACTTAACAATGTCATTTATAATTTCGGTCTCTAAATCTGTAAATTATTTTCACGTAAGTTTAGAATTCAGAATTACATAAATTTATCATTTTAAGTGATTGCCGATTTAAATGGTACGGTAGCATGACAAAATTTATACTTCATCGGATTGAAACAAAAAGTATGTTTACTGCACATTGCTACAGTTCAAAGGATTCCGGAACAGTGAAAATTCCGTGAAAAGCATTCATAATTACTTTTTAGCATTTAGCGTAAAGTGTCATTTTTTGCAATCGAAATCAGAAAATGCGCATTAAAAATTTCGTATCAAATTCTTCACTGAAGATATTAAGGAATGTAGTTTACTTGCAAAAATTTAAAAAGATCATAGTGCCTACTGATTAACTAAGATGAAATTTGTGAAGCGCGTTATCAGCTGAATTATCGAAAATAAGAAATGATAAAGTTGATTTACTTGTAGGAATTTGACGAGGTTCTTTCAAGTATATCTCATTCATGTCAAGATTCAGCGAGAGAAGACTAATAATTGACTGGATAAAATATCAAATTTGCTAGAAAAAAAAATTTTTATCTTAGAATTTAGAATTGCTGCTTTTAAATGATTTTGTTACCATAAAAGATTTAATTTACAGCTGATGGCAATTTCTTTTACTAATTTATTACAATTCTAACTGTTTGTTCTCAATACTTTATTTGCAAAGAAATTTATTGTACTGATTTGTCTAAATCCTGCAAACAATTTTGTGAATCTTTATTCTAAGTAATCTTCAAGCGAAATTTTCAGATCATTCAAGTTCTTCGTTGCAGTTTCCATTCCGCCAGTATCTTTAATTTATGGAACCGCATCCTTTTTTCATACCAACCACCATTAAGTTAGCAACTTTGCCCAATTCAAACATTGACACTAACTTCGAAACGACAACACTCCACTATTCCACTGCACCAATTTCATATGCTATTGATGTAACCAGCAATATTCCATACCGGGATGCTATATCAGGTGAGAACAATATGTCGTTGCTCTCTATTGATACAAGCTTTAATCAAGGTTATTCAAGCAATAATGAAGAATATAGCGATGATGACCCGTGGAAAAACTACAACGAATCAAAAGAAATGAAGTATTTAGTCTGTAATGCTAATGATTTACAAGCAAACGTTGCGGCACAGCAGTTACCGTTATCTTCCAATCGCCAATCAAACGCTGAACCGCAGCCGCTGCTACTATCTTCTACTGTGCGAGCGAACAGTACGACACAACAATTGCCATTATCTCCTACTCTTCAGACAAATCGTGCGGCACAGCAGTTACCGTTATCTTCCAATCGCCAATCAAAGGCTGAACCGAAGCCGCTGCTACTATCTTCTACTGTGCGAGCGAACAGTACGACACAACAATTGCCATTATCTCCTACTCTTCAGACAAATCGTGCGGCACAGCAGTTACCGTTATCTTCCAATCGCCAATCAAACGCTGAACCGCAGCCGTTGCTACTATCTTCTACTGTGCGAGCGAACAGTACGACACAACAATTGCCATTATCTCCTACTCTTCAGACAAATCGTGCGGCACAGCAGTTACCGTTATCTTCCAATCGCCAATCAAAGGCTGAACCGCAGCCGCTACCACTATCATCTGCTACGCAAGCCAACACTACAACACGGCACTTATCATTATGTTATATTCCACAAATGAACGTTGCACAACTGCGGTTGCCAACAACGTCTAATTTACAAGCAAACATTACAACACAATCGTTATCACTGCCTTCTGCAAAATTTTTGCAAACAACAGATGAATTTCAGCAACATTTATCACCTATTCAGAAAATTCGATTTTTACATGACAAAGCAACACACTATGCTAGATTAGCACAAGATGCTTGGGAAGAAGCTAGAACAATTGCTGCTTCTTTGAATATGCCACCACCATCGTTGCCGGATGCGGTCGATTTCATGACACATAGTTACTTAAAATATCAAAAACAGTGGAATTTAAAGAGAAATGTTGATGAACAAGAAAATATTAAGCCATACTTATCAAAAATTCATAACATGGAAAATTCCGCATCATCATTATCTGATCTTCAATCTATTTCCAAAAGCACAAGAAGAAAACCATCATTAAATACTAATTCTGCATCGGATTCTAATTTCAATCAATTGCCTTCTAAAATGTCCCGAGTTGAGAAAAGTGTGTGCAAGTACGTCAGTGCGAAATTTACGACAAATTTGACTACGAAAACGGTAAAGACAATTTTCTATCCTTAATTTACTGTTATTGGAATTGACTAAATGAATTAATTCGAAAAACAGTTGGATCATTGAAAGTCCTTTTGCGCTCCATTTTGTGCGCAGTTGTTGTGATAGATGAGGAATTAACTTCGTGGAAAATTTTTTCTTGTCAATTTATTATATATTTGATTGATACTTTTAAGTGTTTAATTTTATTGTTGCCACCATAATTTTAAGCAATATTTTTGCTTAAATTTCAATTAAGTCTATCATGTAATTTGCAAAAAACGAAAATTTCCAAAGTCAATGATGTATAAAATTTCCAAATTAAAATGATATCATTGAATGAAAAGTTCCATTTTAATTTTGAAGTCAGTGTCTGGAAATATTACCATGATGTAAATTTTCTGTAAAAATATTTTCATCTTCAGATCGATCAACAATTACCAACAGCATCGCTACAATCAAGTTAGTTTATTCTGCTTCTTTTACTTAAGCACCGAGAAGAGAAAGAGAGAGGGAGAGAGAGAGGGGGTGGATGAAAGAAAGAGAAAGGGAGACTGAAATGGTAATCGATAATTTTGGGATAAGTTTAAGCTCAGTGAACAAAATTTCCAGAAAATTATGCCATTTCGTAATAAAATGAGCAAATTTCTTATTTACTCATCCAAATGATAAATTTTTAGCTATAGGTACGTGGAAGAAGTTGAATTCCGTCGATCACAAGAATTGCTAATACCTCATGAATTAGTAAATCTGAGCCTATCAAAAAGCAATAGGCATATTTACAATCTATAACGCCATGTGTCGATAATTAATACTTCCTTTAAAGATGAAATAAAAATATAAAGCGAAGAATGCAATCAATTAAAATTCTGCGTGTTCCGAAATCAAATGAATATAAAATTTTGTTTTCAAATAAGCTAAGAAAAATGTATTATTATGCAATTGAGTTTACTCGATCAATATCATAAATTTGCTTTGAAAAATTGATTTCATTCAATTGTAAATATTACAAAAACTCTTTAATAAATATAGCAATATTAATTTTTTCAGAGAATGAAACTAACGCAACACAGCAATTAATCCATCGAAGAAGATGGAAAGATTAAAAATTGAAAAAGGGATAATCTCTCGATGAATTTCTTCTTCTTGATGAAATTAGCGTTGTCATATATTTATTGATTTCATTAGAATTTTCCCTCTATGTAATAAACATTTTGATTGAAAATTGAGAAAGGAATAATCTCTTTATGAATTTCACCTTCTTGGTGAAGTATTGTCATATATTTATTGATTCTATTAGAATTTTCCCTCCATGTAACAAACATTTTCTTTCTTTTTTTCTTTTCCTATTTCATTGTATCATCAGATTAGTGCTTTTTCGTACATTGTTTTTTGTTTTTGTTGTTGATGCTCTGTTACAGTGCAATAAAAAGGTCAATGATGATTGAAACTATATGTTCATATTTACTTTATCTGCCAAAGCATCAATTTCAATTCTTATATCTTCCATTTATATGTTTTGATGACCTCTCTTACTATTACTGCTATCATATTTGGGTGACTATTGATTAAAAAGTGATAAATAAGTTAATGGAACTTTATAGGAAGTTTATTGCGTAATTAATCATATGAAACATGTTTATTTGCACCTCATCAACTGAACAGAGTTCATTCTCAGAAATCACAACAGAAGGCATGACCAAGAGTTAAAAAGTAGAAAATTCACTTCAGCTATATTTCAAACATACATCAAAATATTGCGACATGTCAAAACTATTTATAATTTCACGTTTTTAAATTCTTAGCTAACAAATTGCAACATCCTAATTAACTGTTGAATATACAACAATGAAAGGTCTCGAAAGAAGCTATTTGCAAAAAATGCACACTGAATCTAATTTAAAATATTTATTTCATAAATTCATTTGTGAGTGAAGTGATGACAGTATAAGACATGTACAGAAATAAAAACATTTTGTAAAATGTGAATGTAATTTGGATTGATAGAAGTAATATGAATATAGTAAAAACATTTCTAAAATAACAGTGAGATGACGAATTCATTCAAAAGGCAAAGGATTGGTAGAAGTAATATGACCATAATAAAAACATTTTCAAATTGACAATCAGATAAGTGATAAAATCATTCAAAAAAAAGATTGAAATTTTTGCACAAACAATATGAGATGAAAGCCAAGAAACAAATGAACAAATTAGACGATGAATTAATACAACAATAAGGCACAATAAATAAAAAAAAGCAAAAGTTGTATACAATTACCAAGAACATAATGAATAGAAATTTTAAATAATCAACAAAATATAATGTTTAAACGACAATATTAGTATCAGCCATTTTGTTCAATATATATTGACATCAAATTCAATATTAATTCACAAGTTGTATGCTATCAATAATATTAATTGACGAATTGCATTGTCAAGATTGAATTATCGATTGAAAACGTTTGAGTTAAAAATCAAAAGACGAAAATAATATCCACACTCTCTTTCTGCATATTCTTCAGCAAATTTACTATATCCATTCAGAATCCCGAAAAAAAAACCTCTTGTGATTGATCTGTTCAAAATGATTCAATAATGTTCTGAAAATTTTTTCTACATGAGATTTTAATAAGCATTTTTAATTGCGCTCAAAACTGTTCCGCATAAATTCTGCTTTATCATTTTGTGCTCTTCTTTGATTTTGGTAACTTAAAGTATGTGAAATTCCAAAAAAGATATTTTTTCTACAATTGAACAGTTCATTGAACTATTCCATTATGAAAAATATCTTTTGATTTAACAAATTACATTTTATATTGAATAGTTCACATTTTGGATTAAACGATCCATGCGTACTTTGGAGTTTCTTCACCATATGAAGTAAAGAGCATTTTAATTTTCTACAAAATACGCTTAAACCTCACTTGTCCTGAGAGAATTCATCAGCACATAGATTATGCATTTTAAAAAGAATTATAGAATAGTTTTTTTTTTTTTAAAGTAAGGCATAAATTTCAAAATGTGCTAGGAATATGTATATATACCTATTCTTGCTCTTTCATGCACACAGAATTCGGATCCATTCCCATCTCGAGACATTTTGCTAAACGGCACATCTGACATTTACTTCTGGTATTCGGTGTTATCGGACAATCGCCATTCCGCTGGCATTTATACATCTCTTTCCGCTGCATGGATCGTCGGAAGAAACTCTGAAGTTATGAGTTGGAAGTTAATAAACAGATAAATGCAAGATTAGAATTTTGTTGCTTAAATTATTGTCAAGCAATTGATAACGAAAATTTTTTAATGAATGCTCCAAATTTTTCATTGTAATTAATTTTTACATATTACTCGCTCATTACTGAAAAGCGCTGCAAGAATTCAGTTCAGTGTTACATCAAATATTTGATACGATATACATATAGCTCAAATTTGTTTGTTAATAATTTAAGATATTCATCTTCAATTAATCAATTAAGCTTAATTACATGTCAATCATTTACAAAAGATGTAATGTCAAGGTGAAATTTTACGAAATAACACTGTATCAAAAAAAATTTTAATTCTAACAAATTTTTTTTGGGACTATATTTTGAGTTACTTTTTATTTCTTCACGCTTTACATTTGATATTTCAAAATACCATACCTTACATCCTTCACAGGTTAATGCCTTGTAGTGATTGCCAGATGCAGTATCACCACAAACAACGCAAAGATCCTTTGACTTTGCTCTCGTTGTTGTGGTAGATCGTTTAACTGTAAGAAATATTTTGAAATCCAATTTAATGGATGATCTTCATTTCTAAATGGCTAATGAAGATGTCTTTTTCGTTTTTAACTTTATTTTTCTTAAAAACGAAGAAATAATAGCCAAATTTTAAGTCTTTAAGGTATTCTATCCAAATGATCAATATGAGTTAATTAATAAAATAAGGCGTTCATCATTCACTTCCTTTTCAAATTTTCATTTCAAAAAATTGAGAAAGAACTAACTCCTCGTTAATCTGTTGTCTACCGGTCGATTTTCCTCCAACTTGAAGATTCTCTCTTGTCCTTCGTTCGGTGCCACTAAAACTTGATGTTGTTCATTCATTGAATATTCCGCAACCGTCGGGATACCAAGATCCAGGACTGGTTGCTGTAATGATTGCGGTTGTTGAAATCCGGCTGATATGGCATGCGCTGTCATATTGTTTGTTTCAGCACTTGGATGTGATTGATGACACGTTTTCAATTCGTAATATACTTTTTCTCCCTGCTCCTGAAATGGTTCCGGAAATGATGAATATGTCGCTTTTTGATAATTTCTCTCTAAAATAAAATTTAACTTATATTGTTTCATCTCATGAAACAATAGCTTACCGGTATCGGCACTAGAGAATAGACAATCGGGGACGATTGAATCGTACCGCGCGGATCAATTTCCGCGCACAACGGCATATTGGAGTTCATGTTGTTTGATATCTCACTTTCATGAGTACTAAAGATGTAAGTGCTTGAAAATTGCTCCGATTGAACTGATGCTGATTCAGTGGGATGTGGAATCGATGTGAAATCGGTTGGTTGTAGTGGTTGTTGCAACAGATTTGATGATTGCATTTCGGAATACGTATGGAAAATTTCATTCGTTGCTGATCCCACT